TTTATGATCTATTAGCATGATCTTCATAGCTCCAGAAAGGTATTGCATTAATGAATTGGGTAGGAACTTTAAAACAGAGGATATTTCTACTGAAAATGAACAATTTAGGTGCCAGACTGCCTAACGGGTAGGCATACTATTTGTTGGTCTCCTTGGAAAGTTTGCATACCTGAAAAATGTCCAAGAACCTTTGTGAGTTCTGCTTGTAGTTACTGCAGGATACATTTTCAATGAAACCTCGACCTGCCTTCCATTACACACCTGGAAATGCAGGTTGAATGGTAGCACAGCTAGTCTGTACGCTGCCTTTTAGCAAAATACACAGAGACAGAATATTAATTGCCCATAACACCAAAGAATCATGGAATATCTCAAGTTGGAATGGACCCATATGGATCACTGAGTCAACTCCCTGCCCCTCGCAGGACCTTATGCATACCCTATGCATATGGAAATTCCATAATATTGAAATAGTATGTGTTCCGTAGGGTTAGGCCAGGCAAATATGCAATAGTAAACAACAGTAAACCAAAAAAGAAATGTTCACTATTTGAACAACAGGTTCTACTGCAAGATGGTCTTTGACATCCCTGACTATAAGGCTGTTGCCTGTCTCCCTCCTTACTACACATACCACTCTCTTCCTTCACTGCACTTTGCTAGAAAAATCTCCATTTTCTTTTCATCCTAACTTCTTCTTCTGTGGCTAACATTTTCTAGTAACAGCTATCTAGGAAAGCCCTCTGAGTTCAGATCAGGACTTTCCCCTTTCTCCTTCCCCAGCTAGGTACCTATTTCAACCACCATTTTTAAGCTTCTCTAAAGCATAAATTCATACACATGAAAAAATAAAAAGAGACTTTTTCCTTATGGTGGGACAAGTCATCTTTGTCCAGATTTTTGTTATAACCTTTTCTCATATAAACCAGGAATGAAATCACAAAGCTTTTCCATGTTACTCAAGCCCTTTGTGTGTAATGTACAGAACCATTAAGTAATTTTACCTTTAAGTCATAGCTAGAGAGTTTTCTAGCACAAAGTTGCATGAAAACACAAATAATTCGGACTGCAAGAGTTATTTCTCATTTAAAGGTGCTCTTGCGGCTCAAGGGAAGCCAACTTATTATTAGAAAAGTCATCGCTAATATTTGCTTATTATAACCTTGCCCAAAGATTGTTTGTCTAGCATGCCTAGAGAAAATCATGGCATCCCTGGGGTATGCTAGTCTCTGAACAATGACACTGTTGATGTCATTCACTGGCACCTTCCTCGTGGCATCACTGGAGGAAGTATGATCCTCTTGCATCATACTCTTTTCAGGATTCAGGTCTTAATTAACACTTTGAGTCATACTAGCCCCAACGGTAAAACCCTCTGTGCAGTCATTAGTAACAGTTCCATTCAACTCCACTCCTGATTTCAGAGAAAATGTGACCCAGCAGGTTTAAGAAGACTTAAATTTCAGATAAATAATTCAGCTTCACTACATAAAGCTTACAAAATGTCAGCATAAAGATAGTCCTTGAAAAAAGAATTAAGAGAAATACATATGGAAGGTGAAGAAATTCTCTTAGTCGAAAGTAAAAGTTCGGATGCAGGTGATAGCATAAGAGAAACTAACATGAAGTGATCCAAAATTAATAACCATGTAGGATATGAGTCAGCAAAGAGATCTGACTGGGACTGAGATTAATAAAAGGGTATATTTCCCCTTAAGTAATGCTTCTTAGGCCTTTTCCTCTTTTGTTTTTTTTTAGTCAGACTAAGCCCCTGGGTACATGAATATACATCAAAAATATATTTTTTAAAGAAACAACAACAGAATTCCCCAGAACAGCTAACCTTGATAATGGCTGAGAAAAATGTCTGAATCAGAAACTGGAAGCTAAGCCAAACAATGAAAATAATATTAAAAGGCTTAATCAACTTAATAATAATGAAAATAATATTAAAAAGCTTAAGTAAGTTTTACTTATTTGAGAGGTTATACTCATTTTTTAACGCATTGGCTTTGGCTGTGTCTGGCATTTGATACAAAAGGAAAAGTAAGTTTTCTCAGGAACCATCTATGACCAACCACTCCTAGAAAGCTGTTCTGAAGAAAGTGGGTTTGATAATTTTTTTTTTTTAAATGTATGTAAATATTTTTTAAAAAAGTAAAAAAAAAAAGTAAAAAAAAAAAGGTAAAAAACCCAGACTAGAATATAGAGAGAGAAATTAAATACCACTTGCTTAAAAAAAGCACAGTAGGTTACCAAATACATATATATTTATATATATATATCAAATTAGGATTTTTATATATATATATTTAGCACATAAAAAGTACAGAAAGCTCACAGAAAGTTTCAGCAAGGCAAACATCTGAAACCTGACAACCTCTGTAAGAAGGTTTTGTCCTTCTTGAACTGGAGTAGAGGAATGTTTCAATAGGTCATTTCTATTACTTTGCTGCAAAAAGGATCTTATGTAGGTGTTGTAATCATGTAATTAATGTTTGTAAATTCTCAGGCAATTAAAAAACAAAGTAATTAAAAAAAAAATTTACAGATGTTCCAACACTGAAGAGAAGCATCATTGATCAGTATTTAAAGGATGGCAAATCAAATTCAGTTGTATGAAGTGTGTGTGGGGAGCTAAGTTATTTCCACCTGTTTGGGGATGAATTTCACTCTGCATGAAGTGGCAAGATTGATAAAGAAGTCATGCAGAAGTCTTGCTGACATACATCCTGAAATGATGGCATGCAGCTAAAAATAATAAGTATTGTATGTTCACTGCAGCACTGGCAGTAACGGCAATCCCAAGCTTTAAAGACATCATGAGTGACACCCCCCAAAATAATAAAATTGGTTTTAAAGTCATAAATCTTTATCCACTAATATATCTGGAGGACTTTTTATTTGCCTTCCAGATGCACTGACTTGATCATTTAAAATTAAAATTACCTGAGAAGTTCTGAAGACTACAAGACTTCTTTTTTTAAAAAAAAAAAAAAAAGAAAGCAACTGGACTGAAGGAACATCCTTCCCCTAATTTAATCTTCTTTTACATCAGGGAACCAAACTGTATTACCCTTTTCAAAAAGTGACCATGGACTTGCCTAAAATGAGGTAGGCACCCTTCTTATTCCACATTCACAGAAAAACTGTTCTGAAATCTTTTCTAAAATAAGCATGAAATAGTTAATTGATTTTCCTAAAGTTTTAAGATCAAACCACCACAGACATACACAAACCCTGACATTAATCTTGAGTCTCAAGAAAATACAAGATTTGCCTGTGATAATTTAGAAACGTCAGACTAATATGGGTTGATGGGAAAATGGTGGAAAAACTGGTATGTTCACAAAGGTCTGCAAATGTCTTATAGTATTTTGCAATAATAATACAAAGTCCCCAGCGTACTACATAAACACATGCCCACTGAGTTAAAACAGGAAAACAAAGAAAAAAAATCATCTTTTTTGCACTCATTTGACTGAAGCAGAGAACCTTTGGCCCAGGTAACACTGATGTATGTTGCATGTTACGGAAGCTATGGGAACTGGAAGAGTGAACTCCTGCTAAGAACAGAAGACAGGAAAACGAGTACCTCCTGTGGTACGTATGGACAGACAATGGACTAAGCAAAATCTCATCGCCTACAAGAAGGCTAGTCCTCAGGATAGCATGCAGCAGTGGTTTCACTCTCAGACTGATTCTTCAGCTGCATGAAACTGTACTGATAAAAGGACTGCTTGGGTGGGACTTATCTCCACCAATTTTACACACCTACAGTATAGACATTTATATCGAGGCTCCTCTGATAGAAAAAGAGAGAAGTACTTCTGGGCTGTAGTTCATCCCATTTTAAAGTCTGATTCAGAACATGTCAGGTCAATCCTGAGTGAGAACTGCCTGTTTTATTCCACTGAACAAAAAAGGAGCTTAGGACAACCAGCTGAGTAGATGTCTACAGTTAGGTGAATTAATCCCTCTTTCTTCTCTTGTTTCCCTTTAAATGACACGTCCAAACTCATCTGCAAGTCTATGTGGATATGTAATTGCTCAGGGAATCCCAGTCTGCTGTTCCATCCTTTAAACCCATTTCTAATAGCTCTACTCTGTAAAAAGCATGTTTATGAATTCATCCAGATCCCCCCATGCATGTTTGGTCAGTATCTTCTGAAAAGCACTCTAAACTCTTATACAAGTCAGAGTGATGTGAGTAGGAATCATAAAAAGCAATTACCCAGGTTTGGTGCCTTACAGGATAGAAGAGAAAGGGATTGCTGGCAAAAGCACTTTAAAGAAATAGCTACTTCTTATTTAAAATGCAAAGAATCGTGAGGTTACAATGCAGCATAGTCTTCACACTAATAGTTCAGGATTAACTTCGCTGATATGAAACATGATTGAAATACAGATTAAATTAGCAAGTCAGAAATAGAATAGGTATGGAAATGAACTGATTCACACACAGCTGCATTTGTTGAAGGAGAATTAGTTGTTACCATCAAGAAAGACTGAGTAACTAAAAAGATGAAGAGACCAAATATCAACAGATGTAGTTAGCAATAATACCGAAATGAACATCGTGACTTCAAAGATACCATTATTTTTAAATCACATTTAAAAAACCCCTCTACTTCTTGTTTGCCTAAGATCACTACTGACTGTAGAGTACAGTGATCTTCAAGTCATAAACATTCATGTGCGTCACTTAGAGGAATATTTTCCAATCTATTTATAACTTGATTTGTTACTTGGCCATGGTTCCTAATCTGTCCGTCATTATTATAAGCATCTGTCCTATGCCAATGAACTAATGAGTTCATTTTCTACAATGAAGTCACAAGCCATCTTTCTACATGTCATGTCCTTTCTACATGTACACATCAGGCTGACACTGCCCTTAAGTGTATAGGCAGCAACAGTAACAATAAAAGCATGTTTCAATGATAAATAAAGATTTTTTTTTAAATGCTAAATAGAAAACCCAACCCATTAGTACTCACCACCAAGGCTTTAGACCTGTTACTCAGAAGTTTTTCAATGTCTCTGGCTGCAATTTCCACTAGCTGACGAGGGTTGTTGGCTTCTACAGTATACAAATCTCTGTTTTTCAAATAAATCTGCAAGAGGAAAAAATGGAAATAAATCCAAATGGCAGCAGACATTCAAAATAAGCAAAGTGACTTGACAGAACAGGCATCAAGATGTCCTCTGTTCCTACTGGACAGCATCAGAAAGACTATTGCTAGGAAAATCCAAATGTGCCTTGTGAAAGAAATACTACACCTTTTTGTCTGAGAGGTAGAAGGTGCCACTAAAAATCATTTAATAAAGCTTCAAAACTGACTGTTTCTAGTGACAGACTATTCAACTGCTAAATGCTCATGGAATCTGATTCCCACAGAGTGCTAAGAGAAAAGTAAAATGGAGATCCTTTAAAATGACTGAAGTTGATAGTTATTGCTGAATTTAATTCTTCCTGAAATGCTGAACAACAAACATACCATTTGAAGTAAATCATTTAAGTCATGCTAATGTAATCAGTTTAGTCCCTTATCTATTTATTCATATTATACTGTTAGTATTCATGAGGGAAGAAGAGGAAGAGGAAGAAAACAAATAAGAAAAGGAAAAAAAGGGAAAAAAAGAAAAAGGGGGGGAAATGGAGAAAAAACAAAAGGGCAAAAAAGATGGGGAAGAGAGGGGAAAGGAACTATAGTCGTGTTTCTCCTCTATCATGAATAAAGGTTATCTCTGGTGAGGAGCCATTAACTGTTTCCAAAGCAGAACACATATATGAAGGAGATAATTTGATTTGTTAAACAAAGCCACTACAATGAAATGCATGCAACCACAACAAGTAAAGAAGAAAAAAGTAGCAAGAAATCCATTTGCCTATCTCTGTCCTACTACAGCTGGATAAAGAAAAAATACATTATTTGGGGAAAAAAAAAAAAGAAAAAAAAAAGTGGATGCCTTATGGCTAGATGGGCAAAAGGGGAAAACTAATTTATGCAACCAACAGATGGCTTGAGTTTACTCAAGTACTCTGCCTCTCCGCAAGGCTGCCTGGTGGGGGCTGTGCTGTCTCCCAGGGAGTAATTCCAGGCACAGGCAGGAATGGGTCCAGCGCTAATGCACTGGCTGCCATCCAGCACAAGAACCGAGAAACTGCAGACCAGATTGAGTCTACCAGCCCCGCCAGGTTTCTCGGGTTAAAGCTATGGAGACCTTAAAGAAACTCACCAAAGTATGTCTCTGGTGCTTGTAGCTGATGGGTATTTATCACAAATAAATTTCTGACAGCTACAGTTATAGCTGCAGATTTTTATCAGGCATGTCTCATAAGCTGTCATAGGCTTTCACCACTTTTGAATTTCACAACACTCATGTTGGGTTTTGGTTTTTTTCCTGCAGAAGTACAGTCCTTCCTTTCCACCAGTAACTGAGTAATTGCATTATGCTTTAATTCTTCATATAGTAGTAATATTTTGAAAAATCTGTGCATCATGAGCAGAAAACCACTACAAAAGAAGATAGTTTTTAATGAGCTCAGATTATAGTTTGGATATTTTTGAGGTGCTTGATTTTCAAAATTGCCACACAGAAAGTTTCTCTTAGGTATAACCCAAAATCTCTTGTTTTTTTTTCCTGAGAACAGATCTTAATAGTAGAAATGGCCGATAGGCCAATAATTAGTCCACAAAATTTGAAATAAAGACATTTTATCCTACAACTTATCACAACAGAATTTCTTACAGTTTTCTCTGAAACTCATTAAATATGCACAGTCAGCAGTGGGATTCGGAGTCAAATTGACTGTAGTGACCAGATGAGCCTTACAGTCCTACAGGCAAGGCAAGAGTAGAAATCAGTTTCATAGATCCAGATGGTTTGAATCAAGAATGGAAATTTCAGAGGAGCATCTAAATTGGAGTGACCATCAAATCTGGCAAAACTCATAGGTCTTCCCATCAGCAGCAATTATTCACCCCAGTCACGTAAGGAACAGACACTGGAAGATGGGTGTTACCAGGTGTTGGTGTTTTATTCTTTGAAGAGAAATGCAGTGCCAAATCCTTTAAACTTCATTCATGACTGTGTGAAGTACACCTGCATCAAAAGTAACTAAATTTATAGAAGAATTGTCACAAGATTTTACAAATAGGCTAGAAAAATGTAAAATAACTTTCACGGAAGTTTTTTAATAATAGTTTTTAAAAAATTTAAAGCATTCATTCATTTTACTTGTGAAAAAGTTTGTTTTGCTTTGTTCAATATTTTCCTGGTTTCTCTTTTTTCAGATTTGTTCATGCAATTGCTTTTCATCTGCTACTCAACGATGAAAGCAATAAAACAATTTAAATATAATCCCTTTTCATTCGGGAGTTTCAATTAGGTAAAAACATCTTAAAATTTGGAAAAAGCAGTAGTTCACTGCAAAAATGCCATTTCATTGTAATTAAATTTTTCACTTGGTATTATAAACAAACATTAAGAAGGCCACAAGCAAAGAATATACACAGTAGGGGCACAGGCAAGTATGTGCTCAAGTAATGCAGGTTTGGAGCAGATGGATGATAGGGATGCTTGGAGACTGCGCTGACCAGCTATGTAAGGGTGAGTGCTGTAGTGCTAATTCTTTGACATCTTTAAGCACTTAGTGAAATATGGTTTCTAACAGGCTGTGATCTAACAGCCTCAGCAGAAGTTAAGGTGATAGCTCACTGCATCCACACAACCGTGATTCTGCACCCCACCAACCAGAAACACAATAGGAGTAATTTATTGGACTTAATCTTTCAATATAGAGCAAAGTTAGAGTAAGCCATACTAGTAAGGGATTGAGAACCTGGACGGAAGATTTGCACTTTCATCCCTGTATGTAATCTGTTCTTATAGCAAACATATGATCTTATAAACCCCAATGTGAAAGCACTCAATTTTTTCACAAGCCCCATTCCTATAGGGAAGTTGTTCCCATACCTCCAAGCTTGAATGGTTTGAAAGCTGCAGACTGTCAAAGTGTGGTATAGTGGATACATTTTTAGGCAAAAAATAAACATTTTTCTTCTCCAGCACCAGCTATCAGAATAGTTCGAAAGCCTGAATCATACTTCAACTTAAAACCTTTACAACAGGCATTGTGGGTCCTACTACTGGGAAAGCCTGACTCCGAGGCTGGCTTCACAAGCTGTTATTTATCAGTGATTAAAAAAAAGTAAGGAAAAAAATTCAGAACAACAACCCCCAAAAAAACCTTTGAGTCTTGCACAAGATCCCACATAGAGTCGAGTGAGTGACTCTCTTTCTCCTCCTCTTCGCTTTACCCCATGGCAGGGCTCGGAGCACCTATCTATCTCCCCTGCTTCTACTGCCAGTGGAAGATTTATCCCACAAGTTCCTAAACAAAAGGCATCAGAAATAACTCAGAACTTCACACACTTCTTTATTTTCCCGAAGTGTGAGACCTGCCACAACTACCAAGGAACAGTGTAAGAAATATTCACTAATTATTTAAGAGGTACGTACATAATTTATTTCTTGCCTGCTCCCCTTTTCTTTAATTCAGCTGTAGCATTGCAGCAGTTCAGCACAACACATGGAGAAATGATATGCACTTCAGGGTTTGGCAACCTGTGACAAACTTTTCCTTCTCCAAGCCTCCCAACTAGCAGTCAAACACAATTAGCTAAAACCCATCTCAAATAGCCATAAAGAGTGTTATCAGCAAAGGTGTGCTCATTCGTCTTTCAAAATGCAATTTGGCAGGCTTCGTGGCTTGTTAAGAAGAGCTAATTTAAATACATTTTATTAAATTGCTTTGACCAAATGAATGCAAGTTTCTGTTGGCTTTTACGTCTGAAATCGTTTTCAGTACTTCAATCACTAATGTTTTGCTAAAAGCTCTCCAAATTGTCAGTAAAACCCTACCACTTCTCACAGAATAAAGCCTCATTGCATGACTAAGTAAAATCTGTAAGGTCATAGCACAAAAAATACTTCCATTTTTCCCTGAACTCAACAGCCATGAACTTCTTTATTCAGGCAAAAATGTATTAAAATTGCTTTCTAAATACTGAATACTTATTCTGGTATAATGAACTGCAAGGTTTTAGGGGTGAGAATATGATAGGGAGAGTCACATTAGGATGAAACAAGACAAGAAGGACAATAGTTAAATGTGGTAAAGATTAGAAAAACTGCCAGCTCCTCAGCAGAACATGCCCTTCTCCACTCAGTCTTCAAGGACATGTTTATAAATCTCTCACAAAGAGACATTCTCCTTGCTTTCTATAAGACTCGCAAGGGAAAGTCAAACATTTCTGTACAAATTGAGAGAGAATGAAAGATGCACCTTCATTGCATGGCTCTTGATGCATTGTGGCAGGTATTGGGACCCTCTGTAACATTGACATTTTATTTAAATGGCCCCCATGCTTTATTAAACTCAGAAAGAGTTCCTGAGAGCAATAAATTATCTGTGCTTTGGATCTGTGGTCTTAGCACTGTTTACACAGACTACTCAAAAACCATGGAATAATAATTCACGTTGAATTCTTCTAAACTACAGTAGAATTCCTTTGCCTGTTTTTTGTTTGTTTGTTTGTTTTGAAACTGTCACTCTCCCAGTTTAAGAAACAATGGAGCCTTTTCTTCAGGCAGTGGTAACTTGGTCAAGGGCCCAAACATGGGACATGAACACGCCAATCTCAGTTCCATCACTTAATACTACTTTCACGGACGCAGAAGTCACACGAAACAAGATCTTCACAAGTTCAAACCCAGAATTTCAAATGTTAACCAAAACCACTGTATTTTTTCCTACCTTGAAATATGCTTTGGAATAGAGAAACAAAATAACTCAACAATTCCAGTAATACCTGTCTATACAAGGTAAATCTATTGCCGTTTTTATTACCTCAGTGCTACTTTCAAGACCACTTAGCTCAGGTAGGCTGATGGGACACTTCTGTCAATGCTTTATAATCAGTCTAGACCAGCTGGAGATTATCATGATGGTAAAACTTCTGCTGAAGGATACTACTGAGCTTGGGACCCCAAATCAACCAAAACTTAGTGGTGGGTCTTTCTCCATCTTTTCTGAAAGTGACTACAC